TGGCCACCCACCCCCTCGTGTACCGTTCCGACCTTCATAGGTGCTCGCTAACAGCACTTGCCTTGTTTTGGAAATTCGTCTTACTTTCCGGAGCGAGAAAATCCAGACATATAAGCTATGTGTTGTATTATTATTATCATCATCATCATCCTATATCAAACACATATATTATATATATAAACAGGAAAACATGCGTGCACGCTATTGCAGGCCTCACCACCTATACACGAGGCAGTCAACCCCATGCATTGTGCACGTCTTTGAAGTGGAGATACTGACGAAGATACAGCATATGTCTTGGCCTCGCACGCTTGCCCTCGGATGTTGATAACAACTTCAGAGGGCCGGCCAGGATCTGGGGGAAGAGATATGCGAGCAGAGAGGGGTGCGTTACGCCTTACTCGTACGAGGCGAAACATCCCTTGTGGGAATCTGAGCTGCGAATAATAGGGAAGGCTTTTACGGCTGCTGATATGGAGCGAGGTTCGGTTGTTTTCTATTAGTTTCATACAGCGCCAAGAGCGTGCATTCATACGCCTGGTGTAAATAGCTGGAAGTAGATTTCCGAGAATACGAAGAAAAAGAAAAAAAGGCATTACTATGTTGGGTATTGTTTACATTATTCAGGCATCTTTGTGATGTGTGGAGTTGAAGTGATTGCATCTGTATCTACATACACTACTGCAATGCTCGCCTTTGTATACACGAAGGGCGATCGGAAAGTATGCGGCATGCATATGCATCAGTGTATGTGCAATAAAATCTGAATGCTAAGTTAAATGTGTGTTGTTTCATTATATATTTAACTTGTATCCACATCTTCCCCTTTCCGCGATGATTGCTCGACCATACTTCACCATGTTGGCCGGTGTGAGCTGGTGACTGGCTAAGATGTTAACTCCCTCGCCTGGTTCGATCCCGACCCTAACACTTGTATATTTGGAGTTTGCGTGTCTCTCTCCCCGTGGTCGCGTAGATTTTTATCCGGATCCTCAGGTTTTTTCCATCCACATGTCGAGTCCACGTGCGTTTAGAGCATTTGGCTGCCATACATTTCCATATGATAAGCCACTTCGTTCAGCTATCATTTGTGACCAGTTCACTTCTAAAAAAGAGCTATAGAGCTCAGTGGGCCTCAACCTGGTAAGAGAAAAATAATGTCACCACTAATGTCAGCTGTGTCCGGGAATAGAACTCGGCTTTGTCGGCTTTATAGCCCAAAGCGCGATCCACTGTGCTAACGCAAAAGGGCAATTAACATTTCACTGACAAAAGGTTCAGGATATGATTCATTTTAGGTTATTTTAATATAATTTCATAAGAACTCTGTAACCCGAATGCGGAGGAATCTAAAGAACAAATAAATCGTTGATGAATCCACAAAAGACACAAACTCGGAATCTCTCCGTCGCTAAACAATTGCTCGTGAGAAACGATTTTGTTCAATATGGGTACTCCTTGGCATACGCGATAGATGCATTCCTGGAAAAGCGTGTTTATCTCAAAATCGCGTGTGTCAAAAAATATTCCCATAAGAAATAATGGTAAAGGAGAGGGTTAGGGGATTTCACTCACACTCGCAGACAAAATGGCCAATATTATCCTAGCCCAAATCAATACATTACACGTACACACAATATAATACTTTAAGTTAAAAAAGAAAATCACGTAAACTGTAATATAATTCCTGATAAAATAAAGACGCAAAGAAAGAAATACAGTCATAAATACGACAGCGTTGAACGCAACGCAAATAAACTTGACAGCGTGCGATCATAACGAGAGACGCGAGACATCTCGGTGTACACACGCCGAGACGCTGCAGAGTGTAAGCACACAGGTCACCGTACCGCGCTGGCTGCTGGCAAGGCTACTGGGTCGCGGTGCCAGGCTGGGTGGCGTTGCGGATGACGTTATTCTGAAAATTGCCTCGTGCGTGTCAATAAAAAGTCTACATACAAAGCGCGCGCTTCTTCTTGGTTCTTTCGGTAAAGCCACGTAGAAGGGAAAAATTAAATAATAAAAATTTAACATAATATAATACAATTCTCACGACGTTTCGGCCACAATGCAAGCAGCCGTCCTCAGGTGAAGAACAGGACTGTCGGACGCTTTCCGAAACGTCGTGACGATTGTATTGTATTATGTTTAATTTGCATTATTTTATTATTTCCCTTCTACGTGACTTTACCGAAAGAACCAAGAAGATGAATCCCTGCAGTCACGAAAGCTTTAAATCGAAATTCAAAGCGTGCGCTATTCCATAATGGCGTACCACAAAATCGCGAGGATTCCATGTACGATGGTGACATCACATTGGCAGTGGTGCACAAACAAAAACACAAACTTAACACATTCGTTAACTAAAGGAAATGTATATATTTGTAATATTCTTAAGTTTTTGGGCAATGGTCATTATTCATAGAACACCTCTTGAATACATTTATACAAAGATAAAATTACATTTCAAAGCCAGAGGTTGAATTTGGAATTATTTACAGATGTGTTTGAGTTGTCTTTAGAGGCTGTTCAGAGCCAAGCGGCATCTCATCTTACCATTGTATTGAACTCACATGATATAATACTAGGTTTTATCATTTCTGGCAATAACACAGATGTTATAAGATGTTAAAACACTAAACAGAAACCTTTTGCAAGGAATCCTGTTTGCATTAACCACACGTGCAAACAAAAAACATTCTATAGTACATGCATTGTCTTTGAAACTGATTGGACCACACCAGAGACAGCTTTCTTTAGAGCCTAGTCTCAAATTGTTAGACCAGAAAACGCCAAAAGGCGAACAGCACAAAGACAATGCCACTCTCAGGGCATTTATAGCTCGGGGTGAACAGCTACAATATGGGACTTTTCTTGTCAATATCAAAATATTATAATACTTTTTACCCTTTCTGGCAATAAAACAGCCGTGTAAAAATATTAAATCACCAAACACAAGTACGTGTGGTTAATGCAGACGTGATTCCTCGCAAAAGGTTTATGTTTGGTGCTGACGTTAAGAAAAAAACACCACTTTTTTCAAATTTTCTTGCTATGGATTTCACACCTGATGATGATTGCTTGTGTTGCAGTCGAAACGTCGTGAAAATTGTATTGTTTTATATTGTTATTATTTTATTGTTTCCCTTCTACGTGACTTTACCGAAAGAACCAATAATATGAATCCCTGCAGTCACGAAAGCTTTAAATCAAAATCTTAACACTAGTTTTATTGCCAGAAGAAGTAAAACCTATTCTAATATTTTGCTACTGGCAAACAAGGCCCCATATTGAAATCACATTGTTTGATTGCTGACTGAAAATGGACACGGGAGAGAAATCCAGATAAACACGGAGAAAGATAAAATCACACTCATCAGACCCGGCTCCCTGTGCCTTTCACATTTGCACGGTTGGCTACGTACGGTGCGAAAGAAGTTAAACATATGTGCATTGAATTTCGATTTAAAGATTTCGTGACTGCAGGGATTCATCTTCTTGGTTCTTTCGGTAAAGTCACGTAGAAGGGAAATAATAAAATAATAAAAATAAAACATAATAAATCAAATTCTCACGACGTTTCGGCCACAACGCAAGCAGCCGTCCTCAGGTCTTTCTTTCCGACAGACCTGTTCTTCACCTGAGGACGGCTGCTTGCGTTGTGGCCGAAACGTCGTGAGAATTTTATTTTATTATGTTTAATTTTTATTATTTTATTATTTCCCTTCTACGTGACTTTACCAAAAGAGCCAATAAGACATACGCGCATTGTATCCACGGCACGTGTCAACGAGGTGACTGTGGTGGGAATTGGATGATTCCTACATTCCTAATGGACCAAGTGTGTTGCACTTTAAGTGAACGATTTAAATAAATTAACGAGTGGCATTCCATGTTAAGGGCTTGGTAATATCACCCTGTATACATTATATGGGATTTGTTCCAGGATACCTCCTGTGTTGCTCTGACTGCTAGGAATGCGTTGGGAGAGCGTCTCTACTGAGGCACAGAGGGGATAGTGTCTCTACTGAGGGAGAGTGTCTCCTGCAGATGATGTAGAGACATGCGGTTGGAAGTGGTGAACCAGGGCTTGAAGGACAGTGGAGTGGATGTGGAGGTGATGGGCTAGGACAGCGATGAGTGGAGAATGAGGGCCAGGAAGGCCGCAACCATCACACGAGTGGGACAAACGTCAGGAAGAAAACGACTGTGGGAAGTCAACAAAGACATTGAGGCCACAGTTCATTTGAAATGGGTTCATTTTGTGTACGGAACATCACTGTCTCGCACAAACAAATGGGGCTTCGCGAGAACTCTGCGTCGTGAGCCGTGTAAAGTTCACGCGAGTCAAACATTCCGACCTGGCCCGGAACTCTCTTCACAGCAATGGATTTCGTAACGCTGCCTTAATGTTTTTTTTTTTGTCGTGTAATCTCTCTCTGTGTGTGTGCGTCGTTGCTTATGTAAATATCATCAGCCATTCTCTATCCACTGCTGACAACCAACAATGCCCTCCCTCCATCGTGTGGATTACTATAATTGTTGCATTAATTCGGTCTCGTTTAATTAATTTATTCGCGATTCTTGTTTTCCGCTGTATTGTTGGGTTCTGAAAGTGTGTGCATCGACCGGTTGTATATGTGTCCATGCAATATCGTCTCTATCCACTGCTTCAACACGCTGGCAGGGAGTGCAACGTGGTGGATGAGAGTCCCGCAAGACCGAGTCAGATGTGAGCCGTGGATATAAATCGAAACACCGCTGGTCGTGCTCGTAGCGCAGTGTGCTAACCACAGCGCCACCGCCACCCCGCCCCACACGTCTTGCCCCCCCCCCCCCCCATACGACTTCCACCCTTGCTGGCGTTGTTGTTGTAATCGTACGCCGCTGCCAACCCAGCACCCACATTTAATTCTGGTTCAATCGCGAGGTTTGTTTCGTCACACCGACGATCGTCTCTATGTGCCTGCAGCGCTTTCCAAACAATTTACACACAAAAAAAAACCACTTTGCGTTTATTTTTAGGTGCAGCGCTATGCGACTGAACAACAGATTCCACTGGTAACCAAGAAATATATACTGTCAGCTGCCGGCGATTTTACTTCATGATCGCCATCATGATCATCAGCAGCCCTGATCAATCCACTGCTGGATGAAGGCCTCCGCAAGCCGTTGCCATCTATCAGAATCCTGCAATGCACAGTTCCACATGATCGCACCTGCACACGAGCTGATTTCATAACTAATTCTCCACATTGGACGTCTTCGCGGACGCATTCCATCCCTTGACTGCCACTCGATCATAATTATTGACCATCATCATCATCCCTTCGAGCGACAGCTGCTGCCAGAGCCCGATTATTCTTCTTCTTAACACTTTGGTTTGTGCCTTGAACCCGCGCGTGTTTTCTAACCCATGCGCGTGTTCTCATTACGTACACGAAGTGCTCGCCACAAATGCACCACAGTACCTCGCTGATCTCGTCAAGGAGCATAAACAACCGTCACACGAACTCCGCTCATCCTCGCAGCGGCGGATTTTTGGCTCGCCATCGAACAACAGATGGTCACCGCATCGCGCGCTTTCAGACGCGTTTCTGTGACCGTCTGGAACGCTCTTCCTTCTGCCACTGGAGCTATGCACTTTTAAATTACACTTTGTAACAACTTTTTTTTCCTGGCTGGTAAGTGTTATTTCCTAATTGCTTATGCTTAAAAGGAGAGAAAATGGCGATCATTCCCCACAAACTTTGCATTTGAGGCCAGGACAGTGCTATTTTGAAATTTACCTATTTTAAATGAGAAAACGGGCGAATTTGTATCTTTTAGTTCACATAAAGTCAGAAAAAACTACATATGAATAAAAATTGCATGTGTTTAAACTAAAGTAATACAAAAATTACTACGAAAGATTTACAAGTGAGTAGTTTTTCGAGATTTACAATTATACTGTAAATCACGTTCACGAATCAGTCCCCAAATGTAGTCTCCCATCATGTTTTTGTTATACTTTCCGTGGTAGCGGCGTTCAAAGTCCAGTATATCCTGGTGGAAGCGCTCGCCTTGCTCCTCCGAATACGCTCCCATGTTCTCCTTGAATTTATCAAGATGAGCACCAAGGATTTAGACTTTGAGGGACATCCTCCAGCCCATTGTGCCGTAGTTCTTCACCAGTCTCAACCAGCTCCACATATTTTTTGACCTTGTGATTGTCCAGGAAGCCACGAACCACTGCGACAAAGCTGTTCCAAGCCACTTTCTCCTTACTAGTGAGCTTCTTGTGGAATTCATTGCACTCCAGGATATTCTTTATCTGTGGTCCGACGAAGACACCGGCTTTGACCTCTGCCTCAGACAGCTTGTTGAAGAAGTCTTGAAGGTACTAGAAGGCTACCGACTCCTTATCTACAGCTCTGACAAATTGTTTCTTAAGGCCCAATTTTATGTGCAGTGGTGGCATCAGCACCTTCCGGGGGTCCACCAGGGGCTCCCACTTGACGTTGTTCCTCCCCACAAAGAACTCGGTCCGCTGTGGCCAGTCCCGCCTGTGGTAGTGCACCTTGGTGTCCCTGCTGTCCCAATGGCAAAGATATCAGGGAAACTTGGTAAAAACCGCCTTGGAGACCCATCAAGAATGCCACCCTTTTGAAGTCTCCAATGACCTGCCAGCCGTACTCATCATATGGAGCGGAGCACCACGGTTTTGAGGCCTCTGGATGAGCTGCAAAGAAGAAGCGCCACTCAATCTGGTTAAAGGCGATTCCGATTGCCTCGAACAGACTGGTCACATTGTGGCAGAAGCAGAGCTCATCTTGACGGGTGAAGAAGCTGCAAAAAGGTTGGTGACGCTTCCTCTGATCTGCAACTTGCACACTTTCATCCAACAAGTTCCACTGCTTGAGCCTAGACGTCTAAAGCTCGGCATTGGACTTGGTGAGACCAAGATCTCTGATCAAGACGTTGATGTATTTTTGGTTGGGGTAGTATGGGTTTCTCTCCTCAGCCCCACCTCTGAAATTGTCATCTGGATCTACAACGTCTTCCTCGCTCTCTGACTTGCTGTTCTCTTCTAAAGACGGCTGCTTTCTCTCCGGAGGAGTGGGTACGGGGAGCTCATGGCAGTGTAGCACCGGGGCAATGGATGAAGGAAGGTCCGGATATGTGATAGCAGGTGCATTCTTGCCAGTCCGACGTTTATAAGGGTCCACTATGCAGAAGTAGCAGTTGCTTGAGTGGTCAGTGGGTTCCCGTCAAATTCTTGGGATAGCGAACTTCATGGCTCTCTTTTCCCCTCTGTACATCCTACAAAAATACATTTATTTCACCCATGACTAAAGTGTAAGAGATTCTCGCAACATTTTTCATATATTATATATTTTTTCAATAACATTGAAAATTGTAAAACGTTTTAAAATTAAAACTTACAATTTAAATGTTTTTAAACAAATCTTATAACCTAAAATTCCGAGCAACAATTGTCCATCTAACCTTCCAGAGTTTTTTTTTTCATTGCTCGCAGGTGAAATGAGGTGCCCAGGGTTTGTCTTTATCCCCGACAGGAATGCCGAAATATGCCTTGGAGGCCTCACACATTTTAGCAGATGCTTCCACAGAGTACGTTTTCGCTCTTGTCTTGATAAATTGGCCGCAGACATAGCAAAATACGTCTGCCGGATGCTTGCAGCCTCTTGATGCCATCTCATATAAATGCAGATTTGTATCCACTTAGGCTGGAACTGAACTGAACTGGTGGGCTTAAGGCCCCTGTATTTATACTACTATCTATATTACTGGAAAGTTCTAGAATGTTCTAGAAGTTGCTCCAAGTTTACCCAGCACTGAATCTATCTGGAATGTTCTGGAAAATAGATTAATTTCAAAATAACAATGTCCTGGTCATAAAAGCAAAGTTTGTCGGGAATAATAACAAATTTCTGCACTTTTTAGGCATAAGCAATTAGGAAATAACAGTTACTACCCAGGAACAAGAACAATTGTTACACAGTATTTCTAGATTGACAAACTCATTTCTTTTGAACTGCTTTTTGTGTTTGGTTGGTTGTCCTTCCGCGTACTTCCGATTAGGACGGGTGGCTACCTACGGTGCGAAAGAAGTTCCACAACATACATCCGTTCCTCTTTCTTTCTCTACGTGTAATTATAAATACTCGTCTCTCTCTCTCTGTACTTTTCTGCACTGTTCACATTTTGTTTACAATTGCTTTGTCAGTGATCCATGTTTCTGATCCATATTCTAAAGCAGGAATTTTGCAATGACTTAAAATCTCCTTCTTCTATCCACCAATCTTTTGTGCATCGAAGTCCAGTTTACCATACAAGTCCAGTTCACCATGGAAGTCCAGTTCACCATGGGAGTCCAGTTTACCATGGAAGTCCAGTTCACTATGGGAGTCCAGTTTACCATGGGAGTCCAGTTTACCATGGAAGTCCAGTTCACCATGGGAGTCCAGTTTACCATTGGATTCCAGTTCACCATGGAAGTCCAGTTCACCATGGGAGTCCAGTTTACCATGGGAGTCCAGTTCACCATGGAAGTCCAGTTTACCATGGAAGTCCAGTTTACCATGGGAGTCCAGTTCACCATGGAAGTCCAGTTCACCATGGAAGTCCATACTCTTTACCGAAAGAACCAAAGAATATGGATTCCTGCAGTCACGAAAGCTTCAAATCAACATGGAAGTCCAGTTTACCATGGGAGTCCAGTTTACCATGGGAGTCTAATTCACCATGGAAGTCCAGTTCACCATGGGAGTCCAGTTTACCATGGGAGTCTAATTCACTATGGAAGTCCAGTTCACCATGGGAGTCCAGTTTACCATGGGAGTCTAATTCACCATGGAAGTCTAGTTCACTATGGGAGTCCAGTTTACCATGGGAGTCCAGTTCACCATGGAAGTCCAGTTCACCATGGAAGTCCATACTCTTTACCGAAAGAACCAAAGAATATGGATTCCTGCAGTCACGAAAGTTTCAAATCAACATGGAAGTCCAGTTTACCATGGGAGGCCAGTTTACCATGGAAGTCCAGTTCACCATGGAAGTCCAGTTCACCATGGGAGTCCAGTTTACCATGGGAGTCCAGTTCACCATGGAAGTCCAGTTCACCATGGGAGTCCAGTTTATCATGGGAGTCCAGTTTACCATGGAAGTCCAGTTCACCATGGGAGTCCAGTTTACCATTGGATTCCAGTTCACCATGGAAGTCCAGTTCACCATGGGAGTCCAGTTTACCATGGGAGTCCAGTTCACCATGGAAGTCCAGTTTACCATGGAAGTCCAGTTTACCATGGGAGTCCAGTTCACCATGGAAGTCCAGTTCACCATGGAAGTCCATACTCTTTACCGAAAGAACCAAAGAATATGGATTCCTGCAGTCACGAAAGCTTCAAATCAACATGGAAGTCCAGTTTACCATGGGAGTCCAGTTTACCATGGGAGTCTAATTCACCATGGAAGTCCAGTTCACCATGGAAGTCCAGTTTACCATGGGAGTCTAATTCACCATGGAAGTCCAGTTCACCATGGGAGTCCAGTTTACCATGGGAGTCTAATTCACCATGGAAGTCTAGTTCACTATGGGAGTCCAGTTTACCATGGGAGTCCAGTTCACCATGGAAGTCCAGTTCACCATGGAAGTCCATACTCTTTACCGAAAGAACCAAAGAATATGGATTCCTGCAGTCACGAAAGTTTCAAATCAACATGGAAGTCCAGTTTACCATGGGAGGCCAGTTTACCATGGAAGTCCAGTTCACCATGGAAGTCCAGTTCACCATGGGAGTCCAGTTTACCATGGGAGTCCAGTTCACCATGGAAGTCCAGTTCACCATGGGAGTCCAGTTTACCATGGAAGTCCAGTTCACCATGGAAGTCCAGTTTACCATGGAAGTCCAGTTTATCATGGGAGTCCAGTTCACCATGGAAGTCCAGTTTACCATGGAAGTCCAGTTTACCATGGAAGTCCAGTTTACCATGGGAGTCCAGTTCACCATGGAAGTCCAGTTTACCATGGAAGTCCAGTTTACCATGGGAGTCCAGTTCACCATGGAAGTCCAGTTTACAATGGGAGTCCAGTTTACCATTGGAGTCCAGTTCACCATGGAAGTCCAGTTCACCATGGGAGTCCAGTTTACCATGGGAGTCCAGTTCACCATGCAAGTCCAGTTTACCATGGAAGTCCAGTTTACCATGGGAGTCCAGTTCACCATGGAAGTCCAGTTCACCATGGAAGTCCATACTCTTTACCGAAATAACCAAAGAATATGTATTCCTGCAGTCACGAAAGTTTCAAATCAACATGGAAGTCCAGTTTACCATGGGAGTCCAGTTTACCATGGGAGTCCAGTTCACCATGGAAGTCCAGTTCACCATGGAAGTCCATACTCTTTACCGAAATAACCAAAGAATATGTATTCCTGCAGTCACGAAAGTTTCAAATCAACATGGAAGTCCAGTTTACCATGGGAGCCCAGTTTACCATGGGAGTTCAGTTCACCATGGGCAGGGGTCGGCAACCAGTGGTACCGGAGCCACATGCGGCTCTTTAAGGGCTGTTTTGTGACGTTGTTTATTAAGCACCATCCACGTGCATCGCGACTTTTGAAATATTGATGTTTTTATTTTACGGAATTCGAAAAAGTGGCATCCTCTTGTTGTTTAGGTTGCCCACCCCTAGGCATGGGGGATGTTTAACCAAACGTCACCACGCTAGTCAATGCAACGGGTACCCAGCACCCGTTTAGTAATCAATCGTTTACTGATGTTATCACTTACCGGGAATGGAACTCAATTCGCCGGGGTTCATGTTCATAGTGTCACTCTCCCTCGTGTGTGTCGGGGGACTTCGCACCGGGCAAACTCCCATACGCATTCGTCCACACCGCGTCATCGACCCCATCGCCGGGAAGACAAACACGGCCGCGCGCGCGCGCGTGCGTGAGAGTGAGTGGCGTTTGTTGGGTCACATGAGCCAACAAACACATGACCCCGTCCTCCTGTTGCAACCGATGAGCGCGGTTGGCTTTACGCTGCGATGGAAAAAAAAAACCCCAAAAAAAAACGAAATTTAACTTCACACCCTTAATAGGTGCTCGCAAAAAAATCCCACCCAGCTCCGCGTGCTGGTGGGGCTGGGTGGTGCGGGCTCTGGGTGTTGTTATTCCTCCTCCTCGTCGTCGTCTGTGACCCCCCCCCCCCCCCCCCTGTGGTTCCAGGGCGAGCGTCTCCGTGCGCGTTACTCGCAAGGGCTCGGCCAGGAATGCGGGGATCGCGTGCGCGTGAATTGCGGGGCTGACGTCATCGCTGGTGCGATAAAGAGAGCGGCTCGCGTGACGGGAGACGCGGGCACCCCCCCCCTCCACTCTACCGCCCCCTCCCTCCCTCCAATATATACAAAGACAAACATCCCCCGTATAGCCTTTGACAGGCTGTAGGTGCAAGTGCTCTTAGTGAGTAGCAGCAACCTCGCAGGAGTAACCCACGAAGGCCCGAACGGCACACGACACGACGGGGTGGGTGGCGAGCATCCCACGCCCGGCCGCCTTTGTCTCCCCCAATGATGATGTTTTCACACCGCCCCATGTACTTCACTTGAGGCGAAGTGGACCTAGGGTAGTCCCAGGACCGGTTCAGATAATCGACACCGGTGTTGGCCTTGAGCGGGGGGCGGTTGGGTTCGTAGCGCGCTGACCACTGCACTACCGCTCCCCACACCCCAATAGACCCCCCACCTCCGCCACATCCCATCAACCCCCCATACAACCCCTCCCCTCACTTCCACCACGCACCCCATCCCCCCCCCCCTCGCCGGCCCTCGAGGGAGACGCAGCGCCGCTTGCAGCCAACTCACTCAATGAGTCTCAACACGCGCTTTTCAGGAGGGTGCGTGCCCCATCACGCGTATCGGCCCCGGGAAAGCCTCGCGGCGTCAGTGGCGTGGTAACGACAATTGTCAGCTCAGGGGGTGCGGCAATAGGTCAGGAGGGGCCCCCAATATTTGATTTGTCTCGCAACGATTGCAGCTCGAGGCGACTGTATGCCGCGGCTGCGCTTGCCCTAATCGCATCGTTACGCTCACGATCTCGAAGATTTCACGTTGTAGGGGCGATCCGTCTTAGCAAATTTCAGCCACGACGGCTCCGTAGCACCTCTTTGCAATATTACGTTACTTCTCTAATGAAATGAAAATAAAACGTGGAGCGTAAAAAAAATATCACGAGAATAAATTTAAACCGCGTTTGAGATAAGTGTGTTATTATTTGACACTGTTGTCGAAAGCACATGGCATGGTGGTTGTCAAGGGGGGCCAACTCGTAGCTTTGGCCACCACGGGGACCCACCCGATCTCCGCAGCTGCTGCTCACTGTCTCTGGACGACTGTTCACAGCAGGTGCCCTGCCAAGGTTCTCAGTAGGGGGCGATGTCGTTGCTCTGTGTGCAATCCCAACATTGGGATGTACCGATTGTTGTTGAACCGCTTTCCCACCATACGTAACCAACCGTGCTAATCGGATGTGCGATAGGACAACAACAACAACAGGGGGATGTTTGACCAATTCACAAACGAGAGTTTAGCTTCATTTCGTAGGGAAACCAGAGAACTCCGGAGAAACCTCACCACACAACTTAGGAGTGCCACCTCCAGCATGGCAAGCCCAGGTGACGGTCACCCATCCAACAACTAACCAGGTTGACACCTGCTTA